GCCGTCGGGTTCGGACCCCGTACGGGACCCCGAACGCCCGTACGTACGGAGGTCTGCCCGGGGACCTCCGTACATACGGGCTGGTGACCCTGTATATATATAAATTTTTATTATATTAATTTTTATTATATTATGTATATATTGTCACATGATATCAGAGCGCCAAAGCGAAAAACAGAAACAAGAAGAACTCAATTCATTTTTATTCTTCCTTAACACTCCCCCTGTTTATGTATATGTCGTCAAATAGAACTGCCCGGTAAACCATAGGCAGAGAGGGAGAAGAGGACAACAAACGCGGGGCTGTGACAAACTGTTTCGTCGGAGTTTCACCGACTCACTTCGATGTGATCCCGAGGCAAAAGTCTCGATTCTCCTTTTTCTGCATAACATTCAGGAGGGTGGGTTGGGTCAATCAATGGGCTACCCACAGATCTGTCCCCATATGCCATAAACAGACGGCAAACTCCTACAGCGTCATGTAACATCATCGCGTACGAGATGGGGCACAACTACTACAGCTACCGTCTTCACCTTGAATAGAAGCCGGCACCTGTTTACCCGGTCGTCATCGCGGCATCTGGACTGAGAGTTGGCCCAAATACAATGATAAATTGCCGATAATGACCGGGCCAGGCAGACCACCTATTCAGGTGAAGACAGTAGGGGTAATTGTTGTGCACATTATGTACCATGAGCATGACGTACATCGAATGGGAGAGCCAAACCCGCATCTGGACTGAGAGTTGCCCCAAATACAACTAGTATGTCACTCTCGCTTTGTGAACATGCACTGCGATAGCGCACAGCCTGCCAACACCTTAGAAGCCATCCCAAAGCATGAGGAACATAGCGCACGCAACTGGGTGTGATGAAAGAGGGTTACAGAAACGTCTACTGTGAGTCCGTCCCTAGCGGCCCCACCCTGAACGTACTCATTGTTGGCTGCATCGGTGATACCTATCTCAGCGCACAAATAGAGCGCAAGCACGAGCGCGTCTCCCGCACCATCGTTTGGAGCTCGGTGCCTTATAGCGCAAGCACAAGCAAACTCACACGATCTTTCAAGCATGACAAACACGAGAACCAGGGGAGCCAACCACTCTCCCTTTGCGACATGAACTAAGCGCATAACCTGCCAACACCTTAGGAAGTGCCCCATCGTGAACGTACTCATTGTTGGCTGCATCGGTGATACCTATCTCAGCG